TATCAGTTAGCTATGTTGTATGACCAGTGTAACTATCGCAACAGAAAATGTGCACAATTAAAAGGAGGAACAAACTGACGTAGAAACTCAAAACTAGAAATGAAAATGTCGTAACCTTGACGTTGCTCGATGCTCTATTGACCACGCCTAACACGTAGCGGAAGGTATCACGTTCGTCGGTTTGATAATTTTCATTTAAGTATGGAAATTCATTTTGCAGCCTTAGAACTCTACTGTTGCATGCATTAGCTGTTAAATAACAAAGAAACCTAGAACACGAGAAATAGTTAGTGACAAAATGTCATAGTGGCATTTTTTTTTCCGGACCGTGTTTCTTTTTGTCACTTAAAAGAAATGGTTTATGCAGGCTATTAAAAAAAGATCTAAAATGAAATCAATACAGGGCTGTTTTTTCTGTGGTATATACTTTGTGAAACGGAAGTCTACATATGTAAAATAAATCACATCACGCCAAAAATATATACATATATATATTTTTTCAAAAATGCGCTAATGTTCCCTTTTGTAACATTACGGCACGGATGTACAGTTTGGAAAACATTTCCTAAATCATAGAAAAATATCAATATATTTTTTGAATTGATTTCTTTTTGTTATAAAAAGATCGCTTAAATTAAGCCCAAAATTCCACCATCAACCGTAGTATTTGAACAGCGCTACGGCTTCGCACACGAAATTCGATAGAATACGTAAAAACTGGAATTTAACATTCTATGCCTTATTGAATAGTCTTTACAAAAATGTCTATATTTCAAAAACCACTTGATGGATTGCCTTGAAACTTTCGTGGCACTTTTTTAATACATATAGCTACCATCCCAACGAGTTTCAATACAATTCATTGAATTAGACTTCCGTAATAACAATTTTCTGTAAAGAGTGCAACCTTTGCGGACTTTTTGATTTCTTGAAACCTTTACTCGATCATGTTAAGTATATCAAAACGTTACAGAATTTTTTCTCGCCTTTCCTTCCAAACTAAAACTTCTGTGGAAGTTCCACGGTATATGTACACTTTGTTGACGCTTTTCTATAACGCTGATAGCACATAATTCTGGATTTATGGGATAAAAGTTGGGCGAATCCACAACTATGTTCCCTAATGTAACATTTTTTGTTCATTTTGACTCTTACTCAGCCAAACGAAAAGTAAATTCAACAATCTTCATACCAATAAAAGAGGACACTAATAGCTTTCAAACAATACCAAAATCATTGAAGGAAATTAAATTTTAAACGATAAGGCTAAAATTGAAAAAATGTTACGTTAGGGAGCAACGAAGAATCTAAGAACGAATGAATGAATGAATGAATGAATGAATGAATGAATGACTATTTGAGTGTCATTAGTACTTAGCTTCAAAAAAAACTAATTTCGGACACTATTTACTCTTTAAAATATACTTTAGCTAAAGTTAAAATTATTTACAATTTAATGAATAATGTATAAAGTAAATAAATAAGTAAGTAAATACATAAATAAATGAAATAGATGAACTTAGTAAGATTTAAAAAGCTTAAAAGATGTCAAATATGTGTATGTAGCAGCATATATCACAGTCCTTTCAATTATCTATTAAGTGTGATAAGTCTTTACTTTTGATACTGTTTTTAAAACTCATAACATTAGGCTTCTCTCTATCAGGTTTGTCTAATTTGTTCCAAAGATGGGGCCCAAAATATCGTAAAGAGTGCTTTCTATAATGTACGCTGCGAAAACGTGGAATATCTTCCCTGTCCTTCCATCCTCTCTCCACTGCCTACCTATTTTCTTCTCTGCCTCCATGTCATTATCTCTCCCTCCCTTTCCTTCTCCTTTCTTATCGTCCTAATTTCTTCATTCATTTATTAGGCAATAGAAAGAATGTTGGTTAAAAGGTCTTCACCATCCAACCTTACATATATTGCGGAGTACAAGTTTGGCAGACTGGAACACAAAATGGATCACTTGGTATGACTCACATTATGACTTTTGGTTTCATGTCAGAATTACATCTGTCTTTAATAAAATGCTAAGCTTTAGTTATCAAGTTAACATGATAATGATAGTGTTCAACGTAGGCATACCTTCTGGTTAACAGCAAGAATGCAAGCCATCCAAGTAAAAAACTGGTGGTCTCTTCTCAGAGCCTAAAGTGACTAATTTATTTCTTAGATGAACAAAACTTCAGAAATTTACAACATCTCTCAAAGTGTTTTGCATTTTGCAAAATGTATTGCATATTTGCACAGGCTACAACATTTAGTTGTAGCCTGGGTTGATCAGCCTTTGACTTCCTCATGAGTTTTTGCCTTTTATAATCTGATCAAAAATTCAACATTAATTTTACTCTTTTAAACTCAATTTTAAGGCATGTTTTACCGCTGGAATGTTTGCTCTTGGAGCTAAAGGTTCTCGAAATGAGAAGCATTTCATTAATCTTGGAGGAGAGATTGCTAACACTTGTCATGAATCCTACCGCAAAACAGGTAATCGAGGGAGAATTAAAATGATTACCCATATCAGTTTCTCTGGACAAAGGAATATGTTCAAGTCAAGTGAATTACTACACAGTTTGAACAATTAATTAGGTTATCTATATTGCACACAAATCGATGTAAACATAGTTCCCACAGATATTATGTAAATTTATAAAAATTCACATACTTTTTCCTAACTTTTCCTTGATAAAAACAAAGTTTCCCTGACCAAATACAAAATGCCCAAAATAGTGGCCTCCCCGTACATTCGTGTACCGATAAGTTTTCCAAAAAGGTGCCTGCTGGAAAAATATTGTTGAGATTTTATTAATAGTGACCTCAAGTGATTTTGCCAACCTTCACTCAGATCAAATCAGACAGTGGTGTCATAATTTCGTCTTTCCCTGTCTTTTCTCTAAAATGTCAATCTTCCTGGACTCAAAATAAAATTCCCTGACTTTTCCCTGGCCTTGAAGCATGTTTCCCCTTGCCCATTTCCTGAGCTGTGGCAACGCTGTCTAAGTTAGAGATGATAGCCTGATTGTCTATCTCTACAGCTACTGGTATTGGCCCGGAGGCATTTAGATTTGAGGGACCACATGAAGCAGTAGGTCTGCGCGGTAATGAGAGGTACTACATACTTCGACCTGAAGTTATCGAAGCATACTTCTACATGTGGCGATACACGCATGATCCCAAATATCGAGAATGGGCCTGGGAGGCAGCTCAGGTTAGTATATAACGAGGATTAAGTCATCACAGTTTGACCTTGAAATATTCCCAATCAAACAAAGCCAGACTAAAAGACAGACAAACCTTATTTAACTGGCCTTTTTGTATCATTAGGCACATACACTGCAAGCTTACGCCACAATCATGAATAATTATTGTAATTAACTATTAATTATTATTATTATTATTATTATATCTCTCAGTTAGTACACGTGCTGTGATTGGTCAATTTAGCGGGCCGTACTCTCCTGTATGGCCTGCTAAAATTTAAAGTTGGTTTTGTTGCCAAACTGTTTCGTGATTTATCGATAAGTGTTCTTCACTTTTATAGCAAGTGAAAGTTTAAAACTTTCTTATACTCTAAATTATGTAATGAAGTGTGCTAATGACGTAAAAACAGTTTCAAACTTACTCGTTTTGCTTTCGAGGTGTGTCAAAAATTTGAAGCCTTTCCGAGTCCGCGTGAATAGAAATCGTTTCCAAACCCGTCAGGCACACAGTAGAGATATAATAAATATCTTTTACTAACCTCGTCTTCTCGGTCCATATTGTAAGTTACGGATCCTCATTTTTTTCCCCTTCAATTTATGAACCGCACGCTTCACGCTTGGGCCATAAATTGAAGGGGAAAAAACTTGGTCCGTAACTTACAGTATGGACCTCAAACTCGGTTAGTACCTAAGAGGTATTTATTTTTTATAGAGTCCACTCATGTAATTGTTTAGGTATCAGTTTACCTAAGTTGACCGCCTTGCTATTTTCCTGTTATGTTTTAGAACATTGAGAAGTACTGTCGTGTTGGTGTAGGATATTGTGGAATTAGAGATGTTGCCATAACAGCAGTTTCACATGATGATGTCCAACAGAGTTTTTTCTTGGCAGAAACTCTGAAGTACTTGTACTTGATATTTTCTGAGGACAGCCTTATTCCATTGGACCACTGGGTCTTCAACACAGAGGCCCATCCACTCCCTATAATCGGCAAAATGCAGAGTAGATAGTTAGGACGTCTTAATTCTTTTAATGTGTTTAAAATTAAATTACTCACATATAGATTTTGGAACCTGACATGTACAGATTGTGCATTTCCAGAAAACATGCATACTCACTCCAAGGAAGGTTTATTGAAATTCTAGTTGGGGGGCAGGGGGGAGGGTGGCTACAAACCAAACTTTTAAAAGAAACTATGTTGCTAAACTGGAATTTCCAGGGGGGTGGGGTAGGGGTTCAAACTTAAAAACCTTCCAGGGAGGGGTATGGATATTTTCTGGAACAACACATTAGCTTACATTTCCAGGTTCTGTAGGTTTAGTAATATTCATACAACTTAAAATGTACAGGTTATTTCAATATAAGTAATATAACTACTCTGCTCATGATAATATTTGGATTCTAACAAGGTAAGAGATGTTTGCATTCTTCCTGTACATTTTTCAATGCACCATTACAAGACAATATCCAGTGATTTATGTAATCAAACTTGGAACTGTTTTTTAAGTCTGGTCCAGATTTGCAAGATAAGTATAAGTAAACTGAGCACAGGGGTGTTCCTGCACTTGCAATAAGCATGGGCACAAGTCAATTTTAGCCTGTCTGGGCGGGCTTTATTATTTTTTTTCAGAACAAATGGATAGGTTGCAAACCAAACCAGGAGGAGAATAGGAAGAGCATGAAAGAAAGTTCTGTATGCTCCAGGGCAGATCTAGGAGGAGGGTGCACGGGGTGTGCACCCCCCTGAGTTGAAGCCTTCTTCGTGTTCACTTTTAAAATTTGTTTACCTCACCAGTCAGTTATGCCATTCCTTAGTGGTGCACCCCTCCTAAGAAAAATCCTGGATCCACCCCTGTGCTCTCCCCATATTCTGCATTGCTTTCCAGCATAATTATGTTCATTTGAGCATTTGAGCATAATTATGTTCATTTGAGCCTTAACAAGCTTAATGAACCTTCAATCAATCAACTTCAAGGATATACACATGCACAGTCCTCACTAACAATAATGCAGCATGGAAGTCTATTATGTCAGAGGACATCTAGGGACAAAAGCATTGCTGAAAGGTGTTGCAACATGCTTGTCATTACACTTGTTTCGCTTGGGTTTGCTTTGATGACACAAGGAAGATGAGCTCAAGAAAATGGAACTTTTTTCCTTATTCTTGTGCTTATTTCTCCTTGGTGTGCACTTTGGGTTTTCTTGTGCTCATTCTTGTACTTATCCAATAGCTTTTATCTAATCCATGATCATGTAAAATGTGTCACAATACTAGTCAAACACAGTGCGTCAGTTATTGGCCTGAAATGACCATTAGAGAACTACTTTGGAGGTTTTAAACCAATGAAGCTCAAACTATACGACACAACAGATATTGCGAGTCCAAACAATCACCACAACATCCAACGATCACCTTTGTTTTAGTTTTCAGTTATGAAAATTCTTAGTTAATTGTGCAATAGATATAAAGATCTAAATTTTGAAGTAGTTTCCTAATGATTGTCTCAAGCCTTCACCTCAACCAAAGTGAGCCAAGGATCTAATGTTATTAATCCAGAGTTAATATTTGGAGTAAATATGTAAAAAGCATCAAAAGAAAAGACCCTGAGTTGTGAGAAACATTAGGAACAAAATGGTTAACCCAAGTGGTCTCACCAATATGTTCCTGAAGATCATCACCAAGTTCAGGTCTATCCAAAATTATCAAACAGCACCTCTTCTGCAAGTTGCCTTAAAAGAAGTTGTTTATTGACCAAGGTGAAGGTGCCAATGGTGGATATCTTAATCTCTTGGTCTTAAAATCTCCCATGGTTTTCATGGGTAAAGTTGAAATTTTATCTGCTCTAGGAGACACTCAAAGAAAGAACTGACACCCTAAAGAATTTTTGGGGTGTATTTCAGGCATGCAACAGGCCAATTTGGGTGTTGTTTGGAGTCATCAAATGTAATTAGGATATTTTTGGGGATGTTCTGTTCTAGCACATACAGTATGTTAAGGTGTTAAGGTTGAGATAAGCATATACTGGTTAATTTTTTTTCTGTGCTTTTATGGTCTGCATCATTGCCTGCTTTGTTGTGGTTTGACTTGCCTTATTCAGGGTGTTTTATATTTTAATTTGGGTTTATTTTCCACAGATTTAAGACTTTTTTTAGGTATTCAATTATTGTGGCTTCACATGAACTTTTTTCCTCTCATTTACTTCTGTGGGATCTGTGCAAGTTTATGTCACAATGAATAGACAATGTCCAATGACTACAAAACAACTGAAAGCATTTATCATGTAGTTCATGGACAAAAATCTCAGGGTTATGTCAAAATCATGATTCTACCTTTCAACAATTATTACAGTGCATGTATGCATGGAGCAACATCAGTGTATAGTTGCTATTTTTTTAACATATTAACTAATTTTAAGAAATTGTCATCAAATCAAAGATCACCTTAGAGTAATAGCTTTCTATGTTAGAAAACCATTAAAGTAGGAATAAGGATAATTTGTCAAGTTGAAGAAAATCAAGACATGTTGCTAAATATGGCGAGACCGATGACCTTAGAAATTTAAAAGGGGAAACTGGTGTTAATTGTGACAATGCTCCTTCTATGATAATGTTTTTGCACCAGCTTTGGTAAATCCCTTTGACACCACCCTGGGCAGCTTGGGTGTATTTTTTTATAGTAAGAGTGATAAGGGTGGGGTTTTTGTGGGTCATTATTTTGTTTATTACTTGTATGCTAATTGCAAATTCATCCTGGGTCACCATACTAATACATGATCACAAACAGATGTTCAGAAACATTTCAGACTTCAAACAGGTTCTCTTCCCTTCACATTTTATTGGGCAACAAGTCAAAAATTCAATACAAGCATATGACTATAACAGAGCTACGCTACATGCAGTCCATGTTTTACTTAGTTCTGCAGCTTGTCGTTTCATGTTAAGCAGTTAGGAAGGCATTCTATACCATTCTCTCAGAAACCTCTCATAAGAAAGCACTCTAAAAGGCTTAGTTCTGTAACTTGTTAAAAGCAGCTAGTAAGAGCTGTTGACACAATGACAGTGTAAGCAAATAGAATTCTCAAGTGATTTTCCTTTCTTTTTTCGTAGTGTTTCCTAAAAGAAATAGAAAACATGTTCTTTGTATTCCATGATGCAATGATCTCTATTAAATTTTCAAATTAAAATCTTGTGACCCAGTATTTTTACTTATTGTGTTATATTACTAGCCAAGATTATTTTTATCTATCATGCATGCTATTTATGTTTTGGTCATAGAACAAATAACAGGTTCACACAAAAATGTCTACTTATTTTCTAACTGTTTCTCTTATACGAAGTACACACTTTGACCATGTTTTGCATTGCTCTATTCCACATCTTTGGATTAAATTACGGTATGTACTTGATGGTATTAGGCTAATGATACTTAATGACTGGGTGGTGGGGCAGGCCTCTTAAAAGCAATGCAAACGTTTATTTTAAAATCATGGAAGTGGCAGTGAAAGGCCAGAATTTAATTGAATAATTAATGAATTAAATAGTGAAGCAGTTTTCAATTGAGTGTCATAAAACCAAAACCAAAGTCATCACTCCAGTCAAAATAACATACAATCCAATGAACCAATCAAAACTCAACATAAATACCTGTAGCTGACCTGAAGTGCAGGTAAACTTGCACATAGAAGTCACAATAATCAGAAGTAAAAAGTAAAACCAAAGAGTAAAACCAATCAGAAGTAAAATCAAAACCAATTATTGGTTTTGGTTTTACTTCTGATTGGATGAAAAAGTGTCAGGAGTTTTTTAGCCAATTGTGCAGCGTAGTAATGTAAAACCAATAACTTTAACGCTCAAGTGAAAACTGCTCTTAGTCATATTTTAAATACTCTCCAATTTTGAAAGGTTGCTTAGATGCTTAGGCTCCACCATTCCTAAATCAAATTGTCTTGAATGTTTGGGCCCAACCATGCAGTGACTATTTGTTTGCTTTAGAACAAATATATGGTCTCTTCAACTTGCAAGAACTGTGTTCTTTGTCTGGCATCACCTTAATCCACACAATACACAGAATGATAACGAAGTGAGAGAAAAATTTATAGCCTCATAACAAATGCTGAGACTATGGTCTTTTATAATACATTTTACTTAATGCACGGTTGTGTACATATTATCAGCAAGTGTACTTTGTACTTTTTGGAAGGCTTCTTCTATGTATAAGCTCAGGAGACACTAAATATTTCGGGTAACATAATTAGTCTTCATATCGTGGAGTATTAGTTCATAATCATTCATATCTGTTTTACTTCCTACACTTCACCCTAAATCCATTGTGTCATGTTAAAGATTTTTTTTTCCTTTGGTTACATGCTAAGTGGAAGGAGTAGTGAGAATAAAACAACAAAAACAGGAATAGAACCTTGTCATTTTGTCGCAAACCCTGCACCCTAACAAAGTGACCAGGTTAAGTCTGCATATGAGCCAAGTGGCTCCTCAGGCCAGCACTTATCTCCAGTTTCTGTAGCATGAAGCGACTAGGAGTATTTCTACTCCATCTGCTGGATGGGATGCTAGCCCATCACAGGGTTACCTGCCAGCATTAAATTCGCTGGTACCCATTGAAACACCTGGGTGGAGAGAGGCACTGTGAGAGTAAAGAGTAATTTTATTGGGAGTGTCCCCAAAATTATTAGTGGGCCTTCGGGCTGACTAGAAGTTTTAGACACTTAAATAAAGTTTATTGATTGATTGATTAATTGATCAATTAAGTGTATTGCCTAGCTAAGAACACATCGCAATGTCCCTAGCCAGGGCTCAAACCCAAACCGATCAATCCGGAAACAAATGCACTGACCAAGAGGCCACCATGCCTCCACACTCAAAGGGACCAGGCTATCAGTTTAACAATTCACTTCTCTCTATGAACAATGAACTGTCCTGAAGAAACTTTTAACATCAGCTTACCGTGCAATGCATCCACAAACATCTCTCTTAATGTTTAAATCCTTATTTTGCATGGAATTGCAACAATGAAGCTGCATGAATAAGTATACATGAAAAAAAAATTAATAACTACGATTGTTTGTGTGTGGTCACCATCTTGCTTAAAATGGCATCAGCTTATGGTTTTGAATCCCAGTGACAACTGAACTATTTCATTTGTAATGTGGGAGGTTGCTTTTACTTTCACTGTGCAACTTATTCATAACCAAAATTATTTGTGATATTAAGAACACAATGTTTCAGTACATGCTTTTTGTTTCCTGTCATCTCATTCACCCTTGAAAGGAGGCAACGTGGCCAAGTGGTTAGGGCCAGACTTCAAAGCCAGAGGTTGCGGGTTCGAGTCCCGCTTTGACCACTTAGCTGGAGTTGTGTCTTAGTAGTCCCTAGATCAACTCCTCGGTCATCCTTGTAAATAGCCAACTGGTCTGCCTCCTGCCAGTTGGGATTTTAAGCCTATCATGGTAGGTTGATGTATTTGTTTCTTTCAGTTTAAGTGACATGCCTGTGAACTAGCCAGGTTTAGCTAAGCGCATTGACCACTATAACCAACAATGTTTTGTTCGAACATCTTAATTTGTCAATCCTTGACTTCCCCTCTGACAAGGGCACTACAGCTCTATGTCATTTCATTATTCTCCATCTGCTGCAGCAGCATACTTTGGTCAGGATGTACTGAGCAACTGAAAGATTGTAACACTTTTCAGTCCCAAGACTGGGTGTAATCTTTCTCAAAATCCTCTCTTGGTATTGTCAGACTGCCATATCGCATCCCACTTAAGCGACGCTTGGCTTTCTTTGTAAAATCTTTGTCAATTGTTAACACCTTGAACCTAAACATTGCTACCTTGTCATCCTCTTTCGATCTTGTGAGGTCAATTTCATCTCCCTCATTCACCTAATTAAGGTAGAAAAGCAAATTTACTGTGAATACTTGAGCACATCTTACAGGGACAGATCCAGGATTTTTCTTAGGAGGAGGTGCACCACTAAGGAATGGCATATCTGACTGGTGAGGTAAACAAATTTTAAAAGCAAATACAAAGAAGAAGACTTCATCTTGGGGGGGGGGGGGGTGTGCACCTCCTGCACCCAACCCCAAAGACCAGCCCTGTCTTAAGACTATACATTAGACTTGAAATGACTGGGGAGATTGGTAATGTGTGGTTTGCCAAGTAATTTAAGTTCAAGTGGGAGGTGCGGCAGTTAGTATGCTGGAACATGGATCAACCAGCCTCGGTCACAGACGACAGTGACTCATTGCATTGTGTTCATGGGACACTTACAGTGCCTCTCTCCACCTGGAGTTTCAACCGGTAACAGAGAATTTTTTAAAATGTGAGGGTAGCCTTGCAAGGGACTGTGGACTGTGTCCCATCCACGAGGAAGTAGAAATATCCCTAGTCACTTCAAGCTATGAGAACCAGATATAACCACTGGCCTGATGGGCCACTTAAGGCTCAAATACAGACTTACCGTGATTTTTGTAAGTCATAATAACAGAATTTGACAGCCAGACTTTTTCAGTCTCACATCATAACCTAGTGCATGTGCAACCTATTGCAGCAGTTATTTCATGGCTTCATGGCTTCTGAGTGTACTTATCTAACCCATTGACTCACAGAGCTTTTTGCCACAAACCCATTTTTGAGACATTTTGGAGATTTTCAGGCTGGATATGGGCCAAATAAGCTCCACTCTACTCAAAAAAGGCATTTGCAACATGACAGCATGCCTTTCTTTCCACAAGCATCACATTTTAAGACATTTTTGCTCAGGCATGCACAGAAATCAAAATTTAGGCTTTAGGCTTTTCGATTTTTTAATTTATTTTTTCGCCTTTCCTTTCTCTCTTTTTCTTTTCTTCTTACTGCAGTGATTGACCTTCTAGTGGGCTTGCTTCCAGTTCAAAAAATTCTGAGAAAGTATCATCAAGACGGGTAATTTTTACCATGGAGTAGCCACGTGTAGTCGCATGAAATTTCACTCTGAATTTTTCACTCAACTTTTTTAGCATTTTGTGCATATTTCAGGCCCCATTGAGCCAATCACTCTGATCTGGGTATCATTGGAAAGATCTTTTCCTCCTGTAGAAACTGAGCATAGACAATGCCAATTTTGGTCAAAGGTGATGATGTCAGAAGTGGAACAAAGGCCAAGGTTCATCACGGCCGGTTACGGGCGGCACAGGAGTCAATGGGTTAATGATTTTTATTTTATTTTATATATTTTTATAAACATACATTTTGGGGATTTTTTCAATGTCAGGCTCAAGATAGGTAGAGCCTCTTTAAATATAAATATTATTGTACTCATTGTTTTAAATGATTGACTTTGCGAAGGTCAAACCAAAAAAATGAATGTTTATTAGTAACAGTATATGCATAAGCATACAGTCAAAGTGAAACTGAATATGCTTACTTCTGATGCTGCTTTGCTTGTAATCTGTTTATTGAGGTATACATTTCTGGAAAGAACATAGTCTTTCACTTTGCTGCAAATTATTTTAAAGATTAAGGATCAGCAAGCAACAAAGCATTGAAACAGCAACATGAAGGCCAATAAAATGACAAATGAAATCCTGATAGCAATGAGATAAATTAACAATAATGTGCATGAAAAGGTTTGAAATTTTGTAGACAGGGGAAATGTGTGCCCCTTCCCTATCCCCACCACTGAGACATGGCCTCTGGGTTATGCATAGTACATTGCAGGCTCAAACAAAACTCATCAGAGGGAATATCACAGGAGATGTAAAAAGAAAAGGCAAAGGGACAGGTTACATCCAGAAGTATTTCAATCTTGAGCAGTAGTTGATGGGCATAATTATGTAAATTTGTGTGTGATTCATTTATGACCAGGTAATTCTGACTCCTTTAAGTTGTGTGTCAGAACTTTAATTTAATTTATGTGTTAAAGAGAAAGCTGGTGGATACTGTAAATTATGCAATATTTCAGAGTTTCATTCATCATCCTAGAATTTTGGGATACCGTTTGATCTCTGGTATGGTTTCAATCAAGGTTACATGAAAATTATTGAGGGCAGACTTTTTTTCCACTTTGTAAAGAAAATGTTCCTATTATTCGCATGTTGCCTTACAAATAATTTGTTCATAATTTTGGGGAGACCCTACAAGCACATTGTGCATGTTCCAGAAAATATCAATACCACCCCCCACCCGCTTTGGAAATAAATAATTTTCCAATTTATCTTCATACATTTCTTCAATTTTTTTGGTCTTGGGGAGCCCCCCACCCACAAGGAAATTCCAATCCCTTCTGTGGGGGTAGTATGGATATTTTCTGAAACTGCGGTTGATCATTACAATATACCAAATGACACGTGGTGTTTCAAACAATTTCCACAAACTTTTGTAACCTATATACGGAACAAGCATAGAGAATTTATTATTGACCACCGACCTTCTTCCTATGCCTAGGGCACTGGCTAACACACGGTCCACTCGTAAGCTTGGCACAACTAAGTCGAGCTTTTTCCCCTGAAGCACAGTTTCTGGATCATCAGAAATGTTTTCGTTTGGCTGCTCCTCATCACTACTATCTGCCGAGCAAAATCGGCTTCTAGGAAGACGTAATATAATGGTTTTAAACAAGTCAATATTTCTACGCTGAAACATCGCCGTGGCGGCCATGTTTACTTTCGTTCGCAGGCCTTTTCTTAGTCGTCACGGTCACGCAATCCAAAGGGGCCGAAAGTTTGCCCAGTTGGAGGTGCTGATGTAGCTGTGAAGTGCTCCCACTTCAAGCTTCACTTGAAACTGCTATCCTGCTTGGTCACAAATTTGCTGTGCGGTTTCACTCTCTCTGTTACCTCTTTTCACTTCCTGCATCCAGGGGAGCGCGGTTAACACACTCCTCCCACTTTGAGTTTGCCTAAGTATCGGGATTTTCGAAGTGGGAAGGCCTAATGCTCGGTTCAGTTGTATACAATTTCGGACAAGAGACCCTGGAAATCGGCTAAATACATCTCTTTATTACTGAAGAGAAGTAAACAGACGCCAAATCTCATGGTGCGTGTTTTCTTGTCTTTGGTTTTGACATGGTATTTTATACCATATTTCCTTAGATAATCGACTGCACAGTCTCCCATCTTGTCTTGATTTCAGACGTCATATTTAACTTTGTTTAAATTGGTAAGAAATTATCGCCTTGTCTAACAAAAAGAAACTTAAGCGTTAATTAAAGCTTATACTATCTTAAATATAAGCTTTGCCTCTGTTTGTACTCACATGAAGTCTCTAGTCTGCCACCGGTTATTCATCTACCCTAAGCCGATGAAACTTAGCGTTTGAGAAAAAAATGTACCTAGTTGAAGGAAAAAAAGCAACAACTTCGCTGTAAGTTTGCGTCTAAAGAGGAAACTTTACTTTTAAGAAGTAAAATTCAAGAAACTCACCTTGTTTCAGCGATAGAACAGCGAAAACTGTGATGCACCTCTTTCCTTGCTGCGAAAGCTGACCGGTTTTCCCGCCTTTTCTAGCGCCTTTTTTCCCGCCGGAATATTCCAGCGAATCACATGCTCCGCCTTGACTAGAGAAAGAAAAGGTCCGTCCCCGGGCCTGGGCGGATTTTTCTGCTATGAGCAGAAAATGAGGCCAACTGCAGTTTTGAACCTACTATTTAGAATTCCCTGAGAATTCGGGGATTTCGCTTGGGGAATATCGTTGTTACTCTGGGTGCTAGAGGATTTTTTCCCTAAGGTCACAGTCTCATGCCTCAGAGAGAATGCCTTGGCGCTGTCGCTTCGCTCGCCAGCGCGGCGCTCTCGCGGACCTTGGGAAAAAAATTCCTGTGGTACCCAGCGTGACCCAGGGAAGACACAGGGTATTTCGCTGGCTTCTCTTTGAAAACATAATAATTATTTACCACAACTAAGAGGACTCAGGCCCCCCAGGCGCCCGCCGTCCTTGACTGCTAACCTGGTTCTGTTCCATCCATGCATTTTATGGTTTGTAACTTTGGTTTGTAATACGGTTTGTAATTCGTGACATTGGTGACTTCCTTCTAAAGGGGTTCGTTTTATCGAGATTCCATTGTGCGATGAAACATACTGATACGGCAAACTTGCTTTTGCGAAGAGGTACCGGGAGTCTTATGCGTTGAGGGCTCCAGTGGCTTCATATTAATCCTTTGAAGCACTGCCGTTCACGGTTTGCAACAACTTCCACTGCGACTGCTGCTACTGCTACTTCTACCGATCCTACTGACTGTGCTGATGCTACCGACGTTACTGCTCAATTCTACTGATTAATACAAGCGCGGAGGATTCCATTTAAATATCTAAATTGTGGACATGTTTGGGTTTACTGACCGCGGGAACTAACGAGGGTATCCCTGGCTTAACTTTGACAAAAGCCGGACACACCAACAGGACGAAGAAAAATAAATGACAGTGAGCCACTGAAAACGATGGGAAATATAAAACCTAGCCATAAATTCAACTTATGTGGAGGTTTCAACGTGGGTCGGTAAGACTGCCCCAACACGGCTACCGTGATAACAATGTTAAAAAGCTAAAGAACCTAAACAAAACAAACAAAACTAAGTAGAGGTAAAAAAAAAATGGTAGGCTGACTTAACTGTTGGACAGCTAAACACATGGCAAGCCAAAATAAACAGTTAAACATAGTAAATACATTTAGCTTCTAAACAATACAGAAAGCTTACAACTGTTTAACTGTAGACACTTCGATCTCTTCCTTCAGTGTCCTTATCACAGATTTTCGACCGCATGTTGTTCTACTTCAGTGATTTCACCACAGGATGGGGCGTGGTTGTCGAATCGTTTAGTCTGACAGGGTATATTTTTAAAACTGCTTTGGCCTGTAAGTTGGCATCAAATTGAAATGTGAACTGAACAAATAACCATTGCGAATTCCCGGAATCGAAGCTTAAATCGAGACAGAGGATAGCCTCCAAAGATGGCGTGTGTTTTCTTCAAGTGGATAAGTAATAAGGCGGCAAAAAAAGTTCCGTTTAAGTCTTTCTTTTAGTTTTATTCACTAAATAAACAGCACATTCCCACTAGAAATAACGGAAATCATAGGTTAAATTTTATGACACCGCGTTTATGCCCGAAAAACGATCATGGATGTAAATTCTGCCTCACACTACTGTTGTTAGTAATATGGTTACTGTACATTCTCTTAATTACCATGACATTTCGATGATAGGTCCTGGGTTATAATTGTTCATAACAGTTGTTCAGTCGGTGTTAACATCAGAGGAGCAGGGGAGTGGAACCTTTGCGGAAAGACAACCTCCCGGATGAAAATTGCGTTTTCCAACCTCTCAGTTTACCAGAACTTCGAAATTTCAAGGAAAACGCCCCGGGCAGGGCGTTGATGTGCTTCATTTGTACATATTAACACCTGGTGAACGCTATATAAAACTAAACGTCTACAAATACAATTTCAGTTGGGCATTATCTGAAGTCATAAAAATCTGCAGATAACAATGAGTTTCCAGAACGAGTTTTCTTTTCTAATTCCCTCAACTACTCGTATTTAAACTTTTCTCAATTCGGTTTTCCTTTTTATACAAATATACAATAAAATAAAGGAGGTATATTATACCATGTACCAATGTGGAGG